CATGCCCAGCCAATTCCTTCTCTTACAGGCATGCCTTCTCAAGAGTGTTTAAGGGTAAACCTTCTGGGGCCTGGCAGGCTAAAAAATTTATTATAGCCTCACTTTAAAGAGGGAGTTTAGCTGGCTACAAAACTCTTCAGCTAAGGTTGGATACTTCAGCTAGGGTTGAAATTCTCTTCCGTAAATACTTAAATATTGCTCCACGGTCTTTTTCACCTGTGTCACTTTTGAAAAGTTTTAAGTGGATCGGGCGCGGTGGCTCATGCCTGTAATCCCAGCACTTTGGGAGGCCAATCACCTAAGATCAGGAGTTCGAGACCTGCCTGGCCAACATGGCAAAACCTCATCTCAACTAAAAATAAAAAATTTAGCTGGGCATGATGGCGGGCACCTGTAATCCCAGCTACTCGGGAGGCTGAGGCAGGAAAATCACTTGAATCCAGGAGGTGGAGGTTGCAGTGAGCCAAGATTGTGCCATTGCACTCCCAGGAGACAAGACCAAGACTCTGTCTCAAAAAAAAAAAAAAAAAAAAAGGTTGTAAGTGAGTCTGAGTGTTGGTCCTTTGTGAATACTGGATTCTGCCTAGGAGCTATTAGAATTTGTAGAGAATGTGTCTGAGTAGGGTCTCTCCTACTCTGTTTGGCACTGGTTATGAGCCATTTCATTCTGAAGTTGCTGTCTTTAATTCTGAGAGATTCCGCTTCTGATTTCTGTAAAGACTCCTTCCCACCCCCTTCCTTTTCTCTTTTCCTGAGCTCCTGTTGCAGCGACATGTCAGCGTCCAGCCTCCCCATCTCTTATGCTGTACGCTTCCCATCTCGTCATTACTTCTGGCTGCTCCCAGGAGCTTTCCACAGTCTCTCCTCCCACCTCTCTGCTTCTTTCCTGAGTGGCATCTATCCTGCCAGTTACTCCATCCCCTGAGTTCTTGATTGTAACTTTTCTATTTCTCACACCTGTTATTTCCACTTGGTTCTTCTGTAAAACTGCAGGTTCCTTAGTTTCCAGTGGTCCCTTATCTCGTGTTTATTTTAAATCTATGAATTTTCTTTCAAATAATTGAGTTGGTATATTTGGGGCCTGTAAACTCATTTTTCCTGGGGGTGTCAGTCATCCTTTCTGAATTGTGTTTGGGAAGGGGCTGAAATCCAGGCTTTCAGAATGTTGAGGGTCCACACAGCCACAAACTCTGCTAGATCACCTTTCAAGGTCATCCCCTCCAGATGACCTTGTCCCTCAAAGAATGTCTCATTATCTCCCTGACTCTGATCTCCTCCAAGTACCTCCTGCTGGACTGAAGCTGTTTGGTCCTTGATGTGTGGAACTTCAGTCTTAGCTGAAGAGTTTTGTATCCAGCTACTCTCTCTGAAGTGAGGCAATGGCCAGACACAGTGGCTCACACCTGTAATCCCAGCACTTTGCAAGGCCAAAGCAGGAAGATTGCTTGAGGCCAGGAGCTAGAGACCAGCCTGGGCAATGCAATGAGACCTCATGTCTTAAAAGATAATAAATAATAAAATAAAAGGGGATGGGCACCGTGGCTCATGCCTGTAATCCTAGCACTTTGGGAGGCTGAGATGGGTAGATCACTTGAGCCCAGGAGTTCAAGACCAGCCTGAGCAACATGGGGAAAACCTATCTCTACCAAAATAAATAAATAAATAAAAGTGAGGCTGCAATAAAATTTTTAGCCTTCTTGTTTTTTTGTTTTTGTTTTTGTTTTGAGGTCTTGCTCTGTCATCCACTTTGGAGTGTAGTGGAGCCATCGTAGCTCACTGTAGCCTCTAAATCTTAAGCTCAAGCAATCCTCCAACCTCAGCCTCCCAAATGCTAATTTTTTTTTTTAATTTGAAGAGGCAGGGGTCTCACTGTGTTGCCCAGGCTGGTCTTGAGCTCCTGGACTAAAGCATTTCTCCTGCCTTGGCCTCCCAAAGTGCTAAGATTAAAGGTGTGATCCACCACACCTGGCCCTTTGAGTCCTTAGAAGAACATTTATCCATAAACATTCTTGAGAAAGCATGCCAATAAGAAGAGAAACAAATCCGGGGGCTACAAGTGGGAGGAGGAAAGCCTTGGGCTCTACCAGTCAATGGGCAGCTCAGTTCTCTGCACTTCCCTTCAGCCAGGCTCCGCTGGGCTTGCGAAGGGACCCCCTGAACCTGCATCTCTGGGCTGGGAGTGGCAAGCTAAAGAGGCAAAGAGGCGAGAGAAAAAAGAACTCTCCCTAGCCCTCCCCTCCACCAAGCCCCTCCTCCTGCCCAGGGCTGCCATCCCCAGTCCCCGGCCACACCTCCCCAGTTTCTGGGCCTTTAAAGTAGTCTTCTCTTGCTTCTGGGCCAGCTGTCAGTTTAGGCTAGTTCACCATTTTGCCTAACACTCATCTATCTGTGACTCATCAGAAAATAGCCAATATCAAGTGCTTTAAAGACTTTAGGAGTTAGATATAAGTCCAGCACAGTGACTCATGCCTGTAATCCAACACTTTGGGAGGCTAAGGAAGGAGGATCACTTGAGCCCAGGAGTTTAAAACCATCCTGGGCCACGCAGGGAAACTCTGTCTCTACAAAAAAATTAAAAATCAGGCCAGGTGCAGTGACTCACGCCTGTAATCCCAGCACTTTGGGAGGCCGAGGCGGGTAGATCACCTGAGGTTGGGAGTTCAAGACCAGCCTGGCTAACATGATGAAACTCCATCTCTACTAAAAATACAGTAAATTAGCCTGGGGGTGGTAGCATGAGCCTGTAATCTCAGCTACTCATCGGAGGCTGAGGCACGAGACTTGCTTGAACCTAGGAGGCAGAGGTTGCAGTGAGCCAAGATCGTGCCACTGCACTGCAGCCTAGGTGACAGGATGAGACTCCATCTCAAAAAAAAAAAAGAAAAATTGCAGATGGCTCACACCTGCAATCCCAGCACTTTGGGAGGCCGGGGCAGGTGGATCACCTGAAGTTGGGAGTTTGAGACCAGCCTGGCCAACATGAAACCCCATCTCTACTAAAAGTACAAAAATTAGCTGGGCATGGTGGTAGGCACCTGTAATCCCAGCTACTCAGGAGGCTGAGGCAGGAGAATCACTTGAACCTGGGAGGCAGAGGTTGTAGTGAGCCGAGGTCATGCCATTGCACTCCAGCCTGGGCAACAAAAGCCTGGGTGTCTCAAAAAACAAAAAAGTCACCTGTGTGTAGTGACACACACCTGTAGTTCCAGCTACTCGGGAAGCTGAGTGCAGATTACTTGAGCCCAGGAAGTCGAGGCTGCAGTGAGCCATCATCGTACCCCTGCACTCCAGCCTGGGCAACAAAGCAAGACCCCATCTCAAAAAAAAAAAAAAAAAGATAAAAAATTTCCGTCCAGCCAGCTCTTTTTGCACCACTATTTATATTCATGTGTAAGACCCAAGTGTCATCTTTCTTCATGAGGCTTAAGGAAGGGTCATTTTATAAATCAACATTAGTATCACTAGGCTGTATTCATTAAGGACTCTTCTGAAACAACCTTCTGAGGGAGGCACTGTTCTTATCCCCATTTTATAGATGAGGAAAATGAGGCTAAGAGCGGTCATGGAATTTACCCAGATTCTCACAGGTCGAAAGGAGCAGAGCTGGGATTCTAATCAGTTCGTCTCCAAGTCTCTGCTTTTCCACCCCTCTGGCCTCCTAGAGCCTTAGGACGTGGCTGGTAGGGGGTGGGTAGGAATCTCACATCTCAAGGTGTATCTGAAGCACACACAAACCAGTCTTAGGAATTCAAATAAAGTACCTTATGGCAAATATGGCATCATAATTCTAATTTTACCTATGACAGTAGTGTCACCAAGAGGACACATTTACTCAAGCTCACAATAGTGATGTAAAATCTTCGTCTCCCAGTGCCATTTCAGTATACTTAAATTAATAAATTACATGCTGCCTCTTTGATTATTGCTTTAAAATCAGCTGATTCATAGGTTTTCTCTCTCAATTCAATTATGGCTTCTTTGCTTTCTGAATTGTCTAGGAGTATAATTACCCTACAATTTTCCTTCCTGTTTCAAGCCCAAATTGAAGCTGTATGATATACAATTGGTCTTGCTTTTTCTCCCATCTTTTACTTTATTGTCAGCAATTATTTCTGATGTTCAACCTGCTCTCCAACTGCACAGTATTCCATGATACTTTGGCCTTACACTAAAAATTACTTTTGATCAGCTGGGCATCGTGGAAAGGGCAGTGGGGAGGGAAAGGCTGATGAGGATGGACTTGCCCTGATGTGTGTGCTCATTTTTGGAACAGATGTTAAAAGGAAATTTATTTTGTTTTTGAGACAGGGTCTCGCTCTGTTACCCAGGCTGGAGTGCAGTGGTGCAATCTTGGCTCACTACAACCTCCGCCTCCTGGGTTCAAGAAATTCTCATGCCTCTGCCTCCCAAGTAGCTGGGATTACAGGCATGCACCACCACTCCTGGCCATTTTTTTAATTTTTTGTAGAGACGGGGTTTCACCATGTTGGCCAGGCTAGTCTCAAACTCCTGATCTCAGGTGGTCTCAGCCTCCCAAAGTGCTGGGATTACAGGCGTGAGCCACTGCACCCAGCCAGAAATTTATATCTAAAACTGGATAAGGAGTACTTTGAAGCACTGGTCGATTATGTTGGACTATATTAGGCATTCTAACCAAGGCCCAGAATCCTTCCGTGGAAGTCCAAACTGGTTTCACTAACTTTATAAAATTGGCATTCAATTTAGAAAAACTAGGTTATGCATATATTAGGAAACTTCTGATTTGAAACAGCTCTAACATGACAAATCTTTTACACCTGTTTCTCTCCTGCATCAAGAGAAACTTGAGAATGGTAGATTTCCTCAGACTACATCAATTAGGGAAAAAAAAGGGCTTCTTGCATATTAGAGACAAAATGGCTTCTACTGCAATGTATTTATTAAATCTTCAGTATTGAAAATGTATTCATTTTGCCTTTCTCTCCGTGTTTTTTTTTCTCTTTTATCATTTTGTTTTGCAGATTCAAGATGATTGGAAGTATGTTGCCATGGTGATTGATCGTATTTTTCTGTGGGTTTTCACCCTGGTGTGTATTCTAGGGACGGCAGGATTGTTTCTGCAACCCCTGATGGCCAGGGAAGATGCATAGGCACTAAGCTGTGTGCCTGCCTGGGAGACTTCCGTGTGTCAGGGCAGGAGGAGGCTGCTTCTTAGTAGGAACGTACTTTCTGTTATCAAGCTACCAGCTTTGTGTTTGGCATTTCGAGGTTTACTTATTTTCCAGTTATCTTGGTTTTTGTCAAAAAAAGAATCATGCGAAAAAAAGTAGAATATTTATTATGGATAAATGAACATTTAACTAGCCTTTTTGGCATGGTAAAGAGATGTCAAAATGTGATTCTTCTATGTGATAAGTAGTGTGCTGTGCTATGGAATATACGTGTAAAAATGTTTCCTTTTAAGACAAAACTGGATAGAAAAATGCTGTTGAGAAATATGAAAAGTCATTCAGTTCAGTATCACTGCAGATCTCCCAGTGGTTTTTCTTATTTAGCCCATAATCTCTTTGCAGGTTTATACTAATTCAGCAATCTCCTACTGTTACCCATTTTCTTACCATGCATTTCTCATTCTTTATTGGGTCTAAAGGGCTGTGCCTCCATTTCAGAGAGCTTCAACTAATTCTCTTGCATAATTCTAAATTATACCATGAGAAATCATACCTAGTTATTCATTGTTAATAAACTGCCCTAGTACACCATAAACTGGGTGGATTATAAACAACAGAAATTTATTTCTCAGTTTTGAAGGAGGTCCAAGGTCAAGGCACCAGCAAATCTGGTGTCTGGTGAGGGTCCTCTTCTTCAAACGGTGCCTTCTAGCTGTTTCCTCACATGACTGAAGGGACTAGCTACCTCTGTGGGGTCTATTTTATAAGGGCACTAACCCCATTCATGAGAGCAGAGCCCCCATGGCCTAATCACCTCTCCAAGGCCCCCTCCTTCTAAGACAATCACACTGGGATTAGGTTTCAACATATGAATTTGGGGAGGACACATTCCGACCATAGCATGAACCTTTAGAACAGGGTTTCTCAGCCTTAGCACTATGGACATTTTGGGCTGGATAAGTATGTGTTGGGACAGAGTGGGGGTATCCTATGCATTGTAGGATCTTTAGCAGTACCCTGGGCTCAACTCACTAGATACCAATGACATACCCTGCTTCTTCACCAGTTACAATAACCAAGAATGTCTCCATTGTTAAATGTCCCCTTAGGAGCAAAACTGCCCCTGGTTGAGAAACATTGCTTTAGACAAATTGTTAAGAAAGAGTATCATGTACTACACTTCTGAATCTTAACATGATCATCATCACTGACGGATGATTCAGAGACTGTTTGAATCTTGTCTCACTAGCTGTTTTTCCTATGCAAAAATAAAATGGACAGAATTGCAGCCTGCTGTGACTCATGTTTCAATAAGTCAAAAGAAAGGTGTCAACAAAATTTATTTACATATAAAAATCGTAACAGTAATGGCAGTATAAGAGAGATCAGGGATGTATACAAGCTAAGGTAGCTAACAGGCAGTTTAAATTCATCACACCAGGCTTTCACTCATTAAATGGCATTAAACACCTGCCTACAATTAAATGCAAATTAGACAGGGTCTCCTCTGTCTTCCAAAGAGCATTAGCTTGAACTTAGATAGGTTACTTATTATAAATAAATGAGGTGTTTGTGATCTCAACAGCTAAGAGTCCTAAATTGAACGCAGGGTTTTTGTCAGCGTTTGCTACCTGGTCACACCTGAAGTGGTGACCTTTAGAAATGAAATGTAACTTTTATCCTTGATACATTATACTGTACTAAATCATTTATGCTGTACTAATAGACTAAGATTACATCTAAAGGCCCTTGCAACTCTAAGATTCTGTTATTGTAATTGTTAGAATGAAGGAGAGAAAGTTGAAATATTACAAGTATGTAACAGTGTGCTTATACCAAATTAGAATACTATTTTTAATATTAGAAGACTTTTCTCACAGAATGAGTTAGACCTAAATGTGTTTTTTATTATTTATTTTTTGAGACAGAGTTTTGTTCTTGTTGCCCAGGCTGGAGTGCAATGGTGCAGTCTCGGCTCACTGCAACCTCCACCTCCCAGGTTCAAGCGATTCTCCTGCCTCAGCCTCTTGAGTAGCTGGGACTACAGGCACCTACTACCATGCCCAACTAATCTTTTGTATTTTTAATAGAGACGGGGCTTCACCATGTTGGCCAGGCTAGTCTCAAACTCCTAACCTCAAGTGATCCACCCGCCTCAGCCTCCCAAAGTGCTTGGATTACAGATGTGAGCCACTGCCCCTGGCCCTAAATATGTTTTTTAAGTGGGGTTCATGTGACTGTAGTGGACTGACTTCTAAGATCAAGGATAAAGAGATACTACCACAATTTACATAGAAGATGGTTCTATGAATTGTGGGAAATGTGGACAACAGGATTGAAATTAATGTTAAGGATATGCTACTGCGTGTCCACAGGAGTTGTCTACTATATGACTTTACAGTGGAAGGTAAGCTACAGAAATAGTTAACACAATAATTATTAAGTTTAAGCATCTAAAGAATAAAGTAAGCCTTAAAGGAGTTCCCAATTCCTGTTTTTCATTTATTTTAAAAACGTTGGTTATGAAAAAGCAGCATCACATTAAGTTGTTGTTGTTGTTGTTGTTGTTGTTATTTGAGACAGAGTTTCGCTCTTGTTGCCCAGGCTGGAGTGCAATGGCGTGATCTCAGCTCACCGCAACCACCACCTGGGTTCAAGCGATTCCCCTGCCTCAGCCTCCCAAATAGCTGGGATTACAGGTGTGCACCACCACCCCGGCTAATTTTGTATTTTTAATAGAGACGGGGTTTCTCCATGTTGGTCAGGCTGGTCTTGAACTCCTGACCTCAGGTGATCCGCCTGCCTTGGCCTCCCAAACTGCTGGGATTACAGGTGTGAGCCACCGTGCCCGGCCACATTAAGTAATTATTATATCAAGCATCACATTAAGTAATTATATCAAGTAGTCAGCTTTTTAAATATAGCAGTATAATATATTAAAGATTAGCTGTTACTCAGTGAGTACAGGAAAGTTTATATACCTTTACCAAATGCAGAAAAGTTTTAAAATCAGTCTTCAAATACAACTGGAATTCTCTAGCACAAAGGATGAACTTTTACTGTGGATTATAAATTAGTATTATTTGCCAGGATACAAATACTAGATTTTTCACTAGTACAGTTCAGATAATATTTTGCTGCTATTTTTAGAAGATCAAATGTTATCTCATCAGTTACTACTTCAGTCATACAGCCAACTGTTCAAATGGATCATCTGTTAACATAAGTTGAGGTTAGCAACTGTTAGTCTGTTAAAGCTCGCACCAAATTTAACACATAACTTACATTTTCATAATTTTTTAAGTGCCATAAGATATATATGTGTTAACTAAAGGTATACTTCGGTCCCTTGGGAGGCTTCACTTATTTGCATTCCCAATATGAACTGGTATTAATATATTTGCCCATTTATAAATAACAGGAACAAAAAGCCCAAGAGATCCAACAATTGAAACGAAAAGAAAAGTCCACAGAAACATCCGATCAAGAACCTGGGCTATGAATTTCCAATCTTCAACAACCTGTGATGAAAAAAATAAAAATGCATTAAATAATTGTAAATTGTGTACATATTTTAACATATAACAAACACACTGAGTTAGAAGCCAAATCAATTTCTGCCGCCCGTTGCTGCCTGTAAACAGTAACTGACCCTATACTCAGCTCAGGGACAGACACTAGCCTGATGGTCTGTTATAGATATAAGCTTTAAAAGACACTACAAAATATGTTCATTTACACATCAACTTATATTACATGTGGTTTACTTTGATAGATTAAAATAGACTACTTGGATATTTTACAATAAACTAAAAGTTACTCTTACTATGTAGTTATTCTTGCTATTTATTCTTGCCCAGCAGTGTTTACTTATTTTAATATTTTGAGAGACTCTAGCCTGAGATTAATTTCATGCCAAATTAAAAGTTAGTTCGGAATAATACATGTTAGAAAGCTGTTCATCTTCCCCACATACACACTTTATTTATTTTTGGATTTCCTAGGGACCACTTCAGTCTAATTTCATGAGCACAGAACGGTCCTCCCTGGAGCCAGCTTTAGTAGGGAGCTGGCTGAACAGCTCAGAGCCACCACAAGGAAAGAGAAGGATGAGCCCAGCCACTGAGCAGCCCTTTCTACCAGGCCATTTCCTTGACCAGGGGCTTCCCTGGCCCTGAGCGTCTATGAAGGATGGTGTCTATATAGTTCCTCTATAGGAACTATGCCTCCAAGGTGTAGGATAATTTAGAATTTAGGGCATTGTAAACACTCTGTTACTTCTCTGCTTCTTTTATTTTGAGACGGAGTCTCACTCCGTCCCCCAGGCTGGAGTGCAGTGGTGCAATCTCAGCTCACTGCAACCTCTGCCTCCCAAGTTTAAGTGATTCTCCTGCCTCAGCCTCCCAAGTGGCTGGGACTACAGGCGCACACCACCACACCCAGCTAATTTTTCTATTTTTAGTAGAGACAGGGTTTCACCATATTGGCCAGGCTGGTCTCAAACTTCTGACCTCATGATCCACCTGCCTTGGCCTCCCAAAGTTCTGGGATTACAGGGCATGAGCCACCACACCTGGCCACCTCTGCTTCTAAGTTTTCCTCTGAAAATAAAGCCAACCTTCCTGATCCTAGTAGTATGAGCCATGGCCCTTTTGCACAATACTTTGCAGACATTTATTAAATTCCATCTCAGTCTAAACCATTATCTAATAAATATAATGTACTTTTGAAAACTCCATTCATAGCTCTAAACCTTATAAACTAATTTAATTATGCTACCACCAAATAGATACTTTACAAACCCACAAGCATTAAAAAGTTTTTATGTTGGTTGCCCAAAGTCTCAGAAATCAGCATGAAAGAACTTATGCATGTGACCAAACACATGCTCCCCAAAAACCTATTGAAATTAATAAATAAGGAAAGTCTTATTAAAATTAAATCATTCAAATATGAAAAAAAGTTTTAAAAAAATATGCATCAAATGTCCCTTTTGGGGTAAAGGCTATTATTTTGCCAGATTTATTCTGTCTCCTCATACTTGATGGAAGATTTTCCATTTAAAATAGCTCTACAAATTATAATTCACATAATTTTAATGTGCATTCAATTATGAAAATATTACTATAGTCATAGATTTAAAATAATACACAATAGAAGAAATAACCGTGACAAAACTGAAATCTTACACATTTTGAAAGAAAATGCAGGCCAATGTGATCGCATTAATAAAATTAAAATGTATTCATGTTCAATTCTTGAATTTTAAATATTAACCTTAAGGAGACAGAGCAATTTTTCTATAAAAAAAGTTTTAAGCAAATTTTTGATTTTAGGCAAATTAAGCACAGTAAACACTAAGTTTCAATGAATCCTCTGATATATAACAACACAAAAGAACACCTTACTTCTTTTAATTTTCCTAACATTCTCTTATAAATGAACAAAAAGATTTGTTTTAGAAAAATATATTGGCTATATTTATAAATTCCACATTAGGCTCATTCTTTATAATAACTTTTTTTTTTTTTTTTTTTTTTTTTTTGAGACGGAGTCTTGCTCTGTCGCCCAGGCTGGAGTGCAATGGTGTGATCTCGGCTCACTGCAACCTCCGCCTCCCAGGTTCAAGCGATTCTCCTGCCTCAGCCTCCCGAGTAGCTGGGACTACTGGCATGTGCCACCATACCTGGCTAATTTTTGTATTTTTAGTAGAGACGGGGTTTCACCATGTTGGCCAGGCTGATCTCGAACTCCTGACCTCAAATGATCCACCCGCCTCAGCTTCCCAAAGTGCTGGGATTACAGGTGTGAAGACACTGCGCCCAGCCTAAAATAACTTTTGATAACTCCATTAACTGTTATAATCGAGTTCTGCCTTCAGATTGTCACAATTTAGAAACAAAGTTACTGAAGACAAAATTAAAACAGCTCACCCACTGCCCTCACCCCAAGAAATTAAAAAAATTCATCATGTCAGAGCCAAGAAATATGGCAGGATTATTATTCCTTAGAATATATAACACTAAATTTTCTTTCGAGTTATCCAAGATGCTGATGGCGGAAGTGGAGAAGTGCGATTTGTGTAGATGCCCCATTTTGCAGGTGTTTTAACTGAAACAAGCCTTAGTAAAGATCTTTTATAGAAAATTATGTCAACCATTCTGGCCCTCAATCTATGCTTAGTCTTACTTAAGGGTCATGCTGTTTACTCTGCCAAAATTAATGAAAGTAACTACTGAACTTAGAATGGAAGCAGATCTGCGTTTGTAAATACACATCACAGACCTC